CATTCCTAAGGCAGCAATCACCCTTTTGGGCTATTTTTAAAAAACATTTCTCCTCCTTTGCTATAATTACCTTTATTTTTTTTTTATCATTAATACTAAAGTTAAAGTGACAACAGTAAAATTTTGGAGAATCTAAAAAAAAAAAACCAGTCTTTTTATTATTATTATTAAAAAAACCTTTTGTTCCCTTCTGGGCTCTTGTAATCTGCTCATTTCCTCCTTTCACTGCTTCTGCCTCCAAACTTCTAGCTCTCCCTCCAGCCTAGGTTTTGCTCCATACTCTGGTTGTCTAATCACATAGCAAACATTCATTAAGCACCTACTTTGTGCCAGGTATTGGTGGGGACAGGGACACAAATTGGAGACCTCCACCCTGAAATCTCAAATATGTCCAAAACAAAACTAAATTTTCTTTCCCCCTGAATCCTTTTGATTCTATTTGCAGATTTGTGAATAGCACCATCATCTGTGTGGTGGTCCAAAGCAGGAGTTAGTCACTTGGACCTTATCCCACCCTCATTCAGCCTGTCACCACCTAACCTGTGTCTGCGATTCCACCAAGTCTGCTCCATTTCTTAAACCCCAGAGCCAGTTCTGGTCCTCAGGATCTGTATCTTTTGGGGTGTGCTAAGTTATGCTGCTGGGATAAACTCAAACCTCCAAAGCATTAAATAGAAACGTTTCTTGCTCATGTTGCACATCCATCTTGGCACAGGGAACAGATAGTGGACCATTTGTTTCCTTTTTTTCCAAAAAATTATGATTAAAAACCACACCACATACCCTACCCTATAAACAAACTTTTAAGAGTAAAGTACTGCCAACCAGAAACAAAATGCTGTACAGAAGATGTCTAGAGCTTTTTCGTCTTGTCTAAATGAAGCTATCCAATGCATGGCAACTCTCCATTTCCCTTCCTTCCAGCCACTGGAAGCCGCTATTCTGATCTGTTTTAGATACTGTAGACGAATGGAACTATGCAATATTTGCCTTTTTGTGACTGGCTAATTTCACTCGGCATAATATATTCAAGACTCGCCTGTATTGTACTATGACAGAATTTCCTTTTGTAAGACTGAATAATATCCTATCATGCATATATGCCACATTTTTAACCATTCATCTGTCAATGGACATTTGTTTGTCATATGTCAATTACAAATGATGTCGCAATGAACAGAACATATCCTCTGATCTCAAAGGATTTTAATGGCTCTCCATGGGTGATGTTTGTACTTTTGTTGCTCAGAAGTCTTTTAGTTTGCTGTAGTCTCACTGGGGAGGGGAAGAGTTGATTCCCCTATTTTTGCTTCCACTTCTTTGTTTTTGGTGTCATAACTAAGAAATCAGTGCCAAGTCCAACATGGTAGTTTTTCCTTTTTTTTTTTTTTTTTTTCCATTTAGTCCATTTTTAGTTGATTTTGTGAATGGTGAGCAATAAGGTCCAATTTCATTCTTTTCCAAGTGGATATCCCATTTTCCCAGCACCATTTATTGATGAGACTATCTTTCCACATTGTATATAAGGGCACTCTTGTCAAAGATTAGTTGACCATAAATGTGTGGATTGATTTTTTGGGTTTTCTATTATGTTTCATTGATCCACATATGTCTGTCTTCACGCAAGTACTATACTATTTCAATCACTGAACTTTTGTACAAAGGAAGTGCGAAGTGTCCACCTTTTACATATACTCAGTTTTTTGTTTTTGGTAGTGCTGGGGATTGAACCCAGGGCCTGTACATGCTAGGCAAACATTACCAACTGAGCTATATCCCTAGCCCTCCCCACACTGTTATTAATCACAAGTTACACCTTCTTGTATTGTGTATCTACTAATACTATTTTATGTATTTTAAACTCTATACCAGATAGTGATTAATGCATAACTATACATACTGCAGAATTCTGTATGTCTATACAGATGTTCCTCAACTTAAGATGGGATTATAGCCTGATATCTTCTTTTTGTTCCTTGTCCTGGGTAATTTCAAATGACCTGTTGTCAACTCTGTTGATTCTTTCTTTTGCTTAATCAAATTTGCTATTGAATTGTTCTAGTGGGTTCTTCAATTGGGTTCTTATTCTTCAGCTTCTAAGTCTGGTTCTCTTTGATATTTTCTGTCTCTTTGTTGATATTCTCATTTTGTTTACACAAGACTTTCTTAAGCTTGCTGACCACCTTTATGATGTTACATTGAAAAATATTTTTGGTCAGGTAATTCATATATATCAGTTTCTTTGAGGTCAGTTTCTAAACTTTTATTTTGCTTGTTTGGCTGGACCATGCTTCTCTCTTTTTGTAGGTCAGCCTGATTACTTTTGTGTTTAGATCTTCACATTTGGAAAAACAGCCACGTCACCCACTTCACCCAGTCTTTATAAACTTAACTTTAGATAAGGAAAAACCTTCACCCATGAACCTTGATTGATTCTGGAGGCCTCTCAAACCTTTTCTGTGGATGCACTGTCTTGAATTAGTACATGTAAATGGGCAATTAATGAGGTTTTAGGTTTGTTTCCCCAACCTCCCGCTAAACCCCATCTAAGAATATATAAACTCCTGCTTTGTCTCATGTTTGGTCTGAGGTACTGTAGAATCCCTGGAGTTCTTTTAAGTCATCCAGCTCCCAGGCATCTACAATATGTTGAGTCCTGATGGCACCTGAGTTTGGTAAGACAGAAACCAGTCTCTTAAGCATTCCCTGGAAAAGCTAGAACTCTGGGCATACGATCCACTCTTCCCTTTTCTTTTTTCCAACACCCAAGAAGAGAAATCTCCATGGTATATTGGGCACTGTCTACTAGTCCTCTGGAGCAGCACAAGCTGCTCAGCATTCTCTGCTCTCTCTCAGTCCCATTAGCACTGACTTGTTTGAGACAAGAAAAATGTCCTGGGCAGACTCCTGAAAAGATAGAATGCTGAACTTATGCTTCAACTCTTCCCCTCCCCAGGGAGAAGCATGTGTAAGGGATTTCCTACTGTTCATTCTGCACTGAGCTGGGGGAGTGCAATGCTGAGAGAGTGTGAATGAGTGAGTGGGTGAGAGTGTATGTGCCTGTGCTACTTCCACATCTGTTCTCAATAGCTTTTGATGAAAGCAAACTGCTCACCTGTGCACACACTGTCCAAAAACAAACAAACAAAAAACAAACAAACAAACAAAAAACCTAAATGCCCACCTCCCGGGCATGTATATTCCTTCTACTGAGAGAAAGAATATTTGGTGTTCTTTTCTGAGTTCTTAAGAGCTGTTTGGAAGCTCCCACTAACATCTCAAGTTGATATTCTAAACACACTCACTGGATGCTGTTTCAGATTTATGTGTGCCTTTAGGCTGTTTCTAAATATCTTTGGAGAATAGTGGCCTCCTCCTCTTTGGTCTTCAAAATTGCATATTAGTACTTTCACTGGCCTATTTTACTTGAAACAACACCTAGGGAACATAGCTCCCAGCTCCCAGCTCCTTCTAAGCAATTTATGAAGACCCAGGAGAAGGTAGCAGTGATGTACATTTCTTACCTGAACTCCTCAACAGCCAAACAAATCTTCCTGATATTTTAGTGCTGCCCCAATCTCAGAATGATGCTCAAGGTCCTGCATGGCTTTGGTCCCACGCAGCTCATGAGCCTCCTTTATATTCCTGATATCAACCAATGTCCCAAGCTGTTGCTGCTCCGTGGGGCCTAAAATATTCCTCCATTTTCACTCCTCCTCCTACCCATTCCTTTCTTTGGCTATGTTTCCCCTGTTCATGAATTGCCTTTTGTAGCATCCAGTGCCTGACACACTAGACTCACACAGGGCACAGTTACCATGCTTTCTTAGTTCCAAGATGCCAGAGACCATTGGGACAATTATTATAAAATAGACTGGGATGGAAACAAATTATTAAATAATCACATCACTTGTAAGAACACAAACAAATTTTGTACAGAAATACTCATGTTGAAAACAAAAGGAATAAAATGCCGAACGTTTTCTCTGATATAAGGAGGCTGACTCATAGTGGGGTAGGGAGAGGGAACATGGGACGAACAAATGAACAAATGAATTCTAAATAGGGAAGAGGGGAGGGAGGAGAAGGGAGAAGGCAGGGGATTAGCAAGGAAGGTGGAATGTGATCGACATTATTATCCAAAGTACATGTATGAAGACATGAATTGGGTGTTAACCTACTTTATATACAGAGATATGAAAAATTGTGGTATATATGTGTAGTAAGAATTGTAATACATTCCACTGTTGTGTATTTAAAAAAAAAAAAAAAGGAATAAAATTTTCTTTATTCTCCAATCTCTACTTCAATTTCTTCATTCTCTCCAGGATACTACAATGTTCAACTCTAATCACATGGTTTTAGAAAAATGGTTAAAACACATTTGTCTATGTGAATGGCCAATATTCATGAAAACTTTTAACTGGCTTATAAATAGTTCATAAATTTTAAGACATTCTTAGTTCAAAAAGTAGGAGCTGAGTTAGAGAAGAAAGATTTGTAGAAATAAAGTGATTAGATAGCTCTGGTCTCACATGATAATAGTTAATTTGAATGAGGAAAACAAGTTAAAACCTACCAGACATGACAGAGACATTACCATGATGACTAGATTTTTCAAAGAAGTGTCTCTAGCACATGGAAAATGGCAGGAGGTATGTGTGTGTTTGGATGGCAAGAGAGTAGGGGTGGGGAGTTGAGCAGAAGCAGAGAAAAGGGCAAGCAAGAAAAATAATGACCCAGTAGAAGAAAAAAAATAATCCAGATCTTCATAGTTTATATCACAGTATCTGATGACATAAAACTGGGATCCAGAGCTAACTGTAACTGGAATTCCACAAGTGGACCCTTCTCTATAACCATACCAACAATCATTCACAAAGTTAAGTATCAATCTTCATTTGCTTTTATGAAAAAGAGAGCACTCAAATCCTTCTCATGCATTGGCATACAGATATAAAGCACACAGTATACATGTGTAGGAAAAAATGTTTCCCTACCTTTCGGCATCGAGGATTAGGACAGCTGAACCTCTTCACATCACTGTCCAACAATGCAGGAAAGCTACAGGAGGGGCACCTGGAATCAAAAGTAGAACTACTCAGAATATTAATACCTGATTAGGTTTCATGTGACTATTCCCTTAAAATGGAGTTTTGAGCTGGACAGTTTATTGTTTTTTAACTCTTCAGTTTTCGGTAAAACGTGGATTGAACCTCTCTTTACAATGAAAGGTGTAGAGCCATTACAAAGAACAGCTTTCTAGGTCCCAACTCATTGCCAGCCACTCAATAAACATATTCCAACTTTTATAAGAATCCTTGCATGTCACTTTTTCTCCAACCCAGGTTGTGATGACTATACTTGCAGGCCAGAAGATTATGAGGAAGAGTAAGGAAAGTAGATAAAAAATTGTTCTATTGATGTTTTTCCATTAATAAAATTGATTGACTATCTTATGTCTCAATAAGAAAAGCCAGGAAACCTGAAAGATATAGCTTTGTTACATAATTTCCTTCACCTGATGCTCAGGGCAGCCTTCATATTTGGGAAAGAGCTGACTAAAAACTCACCTGACAAGCTCATCAGCATAGGCTGCAGCAACTTCCTCTTCAGCTTTTCGCTCATAATATTTATACAGGATGGTCTGGGGAAGGACTTTCTCTAGTTCACTGGTTGGGAATGAACATGTGCAGCTGCCTTCCATGCAGCTGAGCTCTGACTAGAAAGCAAGTAGGCAAAGAAAAAAGAAAAGTCAAGCAAGTCCAGTAAAAAAACCTCAGAGGTTAAATGAATCTTTCAACAGAGGGCAAACAATAGTTAAGTGATAGAATGAAGTGGCAGAATGAAGATCTCTCTGCCTCCTGCCTCTATGAGAAATCACACTCCAATAAGGACAAAATGAAACAAAAACACAAAGTCCATCTAGTAGTGTAAATCACAATCCAAGAAGATGGAAGGTGGAGGGCATATGGCTTAGTGGATGGAAGGAGGAAGTTCTCAGATAAGTATCTGAAAGGGAGATGCTGGTCAGAAGCATGCTGATTCCCTCTATAAATCCTAAAAAGCAGGAGATGCCCCAGGTAGATAGAAGGGTGGGGAAAGGGTAGAAAAAAATCAAGAAGTGGGGGAATTGTTTTGGCCTTCAGTTCCAACTCCCTTTAGACGGAACCAGGAGATTCCCAGAGAAAGGCATTGCTAAGGTGTGGCCTATACTCAGGATTTGTGAAGCCTGCACACTGAACAGGGAATTCTCCAGCTCCTGCCTCCCACTCAGCTCTAGGATGTTGGAACGTGGTCTCACACCTGCTGGGCAGGATCCACACCCAAATCCGGTAGAGAGACTTAAGAGAGTGTCATTTAAGGTTCACAACACAAAATGCTATCCAGGTACCTACAGTCAAATTCACCAGCCTATAATCCTCACTACTCAAACAGCTTCCAAACAACTCTTTAATATGAAAGAAAAGCTTAGCCATCCGAGGAACATTTTCAACAGGAAAGACAGACACAACAAATCAGACATATGAGAAAAAGCACCTTAAAAATAAATATAGTTGCCGAGCGTTGAGTGTACACCTATAATTTGAGTGACTTGGGAATAAGGCAGGAGGATCACAAGTTTGAGGACAATCTTAGCAAATTAGTGAGGCACTAAGCAATTTAGTGAGACCCTGTCTCAAAATAAAAAATAAAAAAGTGATGGGGATATAGCTCAGCGGTAAGGTGCCCCTGGGTTCAATCCCCAGCAATAAATAAACAATTTAAAAAATACAGCTAAAATCTAGGAAGCATTTATGATGTGTCAGAAAATACTTTTTTTTTTTTTTTTTTTGTGGTGCTGGGGAATCGAACCCAGGAAAATACACTCTTTAAACACATGATCTCATTTAATGTTCACAGCAATTCTCAAGAATATGCAGGCAATTATAAGTGGGAAGCCCAAGGGCCAATGCTTTCTGCTAGACTCTAAAAAATCATGCTTTTTGAAAAACAAAATCTTTTTTATTTTCAAATAATGTTAGACTTTTAAAAAGTTGCAAAAATAGTACAAAGTTCCTGAATCCTCTTTAATCACTTTTCCTGAAGTTAAAGTTGTATACAAAACACATCACACTTAAAATCAGAAGCTAACAGTGGTACAATCCTATTAACTAAGCAAGTCTTTATTTCTACTTCATTAGGTTTTCCAATATTGTCTTTTTTGGTCTAGGATCCCTCATGACCTCTAGTTGCCATGTGTTCTTTGCCTCTTCCAACCTGTGTTAATGTGATAGCTACACATTCTGGTTTTTATCCATGGTTCCCTTGGCCCTTTTTATTTCCTAAATGATGAGAACTATAAGGTAGTTTGACCAGAATTATAAGGTAGTTGGCCTTTTGTCCTTAGTTCCTAAAGCGGCTCTGAAATAATTTCAGAGCAATAAGGTGAAAGACAGTCTTCTGTTACAATGTTGGAGCACTTCCGCCCTCAGAAAGCAATCTCTCAGCCAGGTGCTATAATCCCAGCAGCTTGGAAGGCTGAGGCAGGGGGATATCAAGTTCAAAGCCAATCTCAGCAACTTAGCAAGGTCCTAAACAATTCAGTGAGACCGTCTCTAAATAAATACAAAAAAAGGGCTGGGGATGAGACTCAGTGGTTAAGTGCCCCTGAGTTCAATCCCTGGTGCCAAAAACAAGACATCAAAAAACAAACAAAAAAATCCCCTCAAAAAACAGTCTATCTCTTGTCTGATCTCTTACCTTCTGTTCACCTGTTCTCCCTCACCTCCTCCAGGGCAAGTTAGAGAAACCAGAACTTCTCTCCCTCAAGGCTAGTCATAGATCTAAAAATATACCCCTTAATCCTTCCAGACCTTTCTTTGTAAAAGTTGACTGCAAAGAAATTCTCTGACCTACTTTTTTCTGTTAGCAGATCGTAAGTCCTGTCCCTTATCTGGAATGAAAGCACACTGCATACACACCAAGAAGAATCTGCACTGCCAGGGTTTGTTGGGTCTCTCTATTAGCATTAGAGCATGCTTTTTCTTCCCATCACATTTCTACAAGATTGCCTATGCTTCATTTGCTTCTATGCAATGAAGTAATGAAGTCTTCATAAAAACTCAAAGAACAGGATTTGGAGGGCTTCTGGACAGCTGGGCACATGGAGACTGATAGGCAGGTGAATAAGAACTCAACTATATTATGGGAAGGTGGTACATTCAAATTCCATGTGAACAGAAGCTCCTGTGATTGGGACATTATCTATGTATCCCTCTATCTGGCTGTTTACTGGTATCCCTTACAATTATCCTTTATAATACATTGGTCAATGTAAGTTAGAGCTTCCCTGAGATCAACAAGATAGCTCAAGTGAATTAATTGAGCCTAAGGTATTGATCATGGGAACTCCAATTTGCAGCCAGTTGGTCAGAAGTGCTGGAGGCCTGAACTTTCAACTGGTGTTTGATATTGAGTACTGAGCATCTCAACCTGTGGGACCTGAAACTCTCTAAGTAGACACAATTCAAATGACTTAAGAGGATATCCAGCTGGTGTCCACTAAACTGACTACCTGCTTGCCTGCTGGTGAGGAGAAATCCCCACTTATTTTGGGGTCACAAAAGTGATCTGCAAATGTACAGTGGAAGAACCTAAGGTTGAGTCTGTTTTCCCTCTATATCCTCAGAGACAGTGACTCAGTATTTGTTGGTCTTTCATGACCTTGGTACTTTTGAAGAGTACTGGTCAGTAATCTTGTAGAGTGTTTCTCAATTTGAATTTGTCTCAAGAGTAAACTTATATTTGACATGTAAGGGCAATTTCTCAGTGTAGCTTCAGGAAATATGCTACATGCTGGTGTATCTTTTATCACTCATGATTAAAAAGGCCTCATTTTAAATGACTGTGTTAGTTTTTCTGTTGCTGCTGGAATAAGACACCATTAACATTAGTGGTATAAAAAACATAAAACTCCTTTCCACATTGCCTTATGCTGGTGTTGAAAGAAACTAAACCCAGACAGAGAAATATGATCTTGTATAAAATAGTTACTATTTTATACAACTATAAAATCCTTTAAAACATGCATAAAAACCACTAACATTCTCTCCTGTGTTCAAATAGGTCATTCTCCCTCTGGTTCATCCCACTGACTGTGAACAGGAAGGTGGGGCAGGGCCTGGGGCATGAAAGAGTCCTATCATTCCCTGAAGACTGTTGTGCCTAGAATCAACATAATCACACAAATCAAATTATGCATATATTAACACACTGATAGAATTCTACCCACCCCAGCAAAGCTCCTGGTCTATCAGCGTGGCTGCCTGAGTGTGACTGTTTCCTATGTATGGGTATTACACAGTTCTACATTTCTTACCTTTCCAGATCCAAAGACAGCCTCTTGGGCATATCTGATGAGACATTCTTTGCAGAACAAGTGAGCATCAGCACATTGTGTCAGCTCCTCGAATGGAAACTCCCCATAGCAGCAGCGGCACTCAATTAGCTGGCCATCCTATAGGCCACAGAGACACATGTGAATGCCCAACACCCCCACACACTCACACTAGAGTCTAGGGGAGGACTTGTTTCCTATCTTCTTAAGCCTCCCTACCCCTAGCATACATTATGAGGTCAAAAGCAACCCCCAGGAGCCATGAAATAACAGTGAGCTGTTTTCTGCCATCTAAACCCAGGTTTGGATCCATGGCTAGAGATAGTGAGCTTTCCAGCAACTCTGGAGACTGAGGCAGGAGGATCACAAGTTTGAGACCAACCTCAGCAACTCAGTGAGACCCTTTCTCAAAATAAAAAATACAAGCTAACTAAAGCACCAATCTCAAGTAACATACCAGGATCTAATTCTTCACTGCAAGAAAGGATCCAGCTACCAGCCCATTCTTAGCTCTGCTAGAAAAGGCCACTATGTAAGATGGAAGATATCACATAGAACATCCCTGGCCCAAGGCCTTCCCACCAACTCTAAGTGCTTTCTGAGGTCTACATTTTTCTTTACACTCTATGTACTGGATTCCTGATTATGTTCTATAATACGAACATCTCCATCACTATCTTTTCTTCAATTCTGATTCATGCTACACTATTAGTTCRTGTACTTCAAAGTAACTTGGGTAAACTGAAAACTTGGCAGATCAACAGAAGGTTATTCAGGACAAGTCTGCCTTTAAGACATTGAAGAAATGTTATTAAAAAAAAGAAAGTGCACAAGAACACCCAGAATAAATGAATTAGGTGAGATTTCAAAATACCTTCTGATATTGTTCTTCATTCATCTGCAGAGCAAGCAAAAAGTCTTCATGCTAAGGAACAACAACAACAAAATTATATATTCAGATACAAATTTAGTAAAGATGATAAAAACATTTAATATTTACTTTCATAAGCATACAGCTATTATTAATATCACCTGAAAATAAATTCACATAGTGAATAATGGAAAAGATTGATACATAACATACTTGCGAATAGCAAAGAACAGCATAAGCAAACAAAAAAACTAAACAGGTCAAAACGTATGATATACTTTCTTGGTGATTTCACAAGGTACCAGGCACTCAGGCATATTACTGGTAAGAGCATAAAATAGTACAACCATGATGGAAGGGAACTTGGCACAGATTCACAATGACACTTTTAGGGGTCTGGCTCAAAGACACCCTTGGGTAGAAATATGAAAGGATGCATACACAAGCTTATTTATCGTAATATTTTTAACACCAAAAACCTGGGGAAAAAATCTGAACATCCAACAATAGAAAATTGTCTGAATAAACTCTGGTACTACAGATAACGGGGTACTAGGCAGTTTAAAAAAAAAAAAAAAAGTAAATCTCTGTGGATTGCTGTGATGTGACTGCCAGGATATATGACTAAGTGAAAAAAGCAGGGGCAGAGGAGCGTGATTCCTTTTGGATAAGAAAGAGGGAGTTGGGGAATGTATCTCAGAGACTTGCCTAGCATGTGCGGGGCCCTCACGCTAATTCCCAGCACAGCAAAAGGAAAAAAAAAAAAAGGCAAATAAAATACATATGTCAATACATACACATATTTGCTTTTACATAAAATAAGGAAATATCAGTAAGAAAGCTGGATGTGGTGGCACACCCACCTCAACTTGGGAAGTTGAGGCTGGAGAATTACAAGTTGAAGCCCAGCTCAGACAATATGCCAAGACCCTGTTTCAAAATCACCACTGTTAACAAAAACCTAACAAGAATGTCTAGATATGGGGGAGTGAGAGCACATGCGGGAAGAGTCAGGATAATTTTATAAAATTGAAGAACAAAATCAGACTAAAAAAAAAAGACAATTCAATGAAAGCTGAAAATAAGCAGAAACAAACTTAACTGTTCACCAAGTTAATGGCATGATCACATTTGTTCTTGATCTTGCTAACACTGCCCAGGCTGGCCTGGAACTCCCGGGCACAAGCAACCCCCCTGCCTCAGCTCCAGTAGCTGGGACTACAGGTGTGTGCCACTGTGCCTGGTTCATTTTATTTCCTTAATGATATAATTTCATAAGAATTATGTTATTAAGAACCAAGATTTTTAGTAAAGAAGTAATACAAACAAAAAATTAAAGTTAAAAAAAAAACCCTGTAAATCAAGTTTTAAATAGAAATCTCAGCATGAAATTCCTAGTAAATAAAATAAAATACTTTGGAGAAATTGTTGATTCCAGATCCAGCCAAGTCACAGAAAGCACAAGTTGAATCTAGATCACTTCACTGTGTTAGAAAGCAAGTAAGTGTTAAGAGCCTACCATGGTCAGCACAGAGGGACTAAGCTGAAGGAGCTGCCCTTGGCCAGAGATGGAACAATCTAGACATCAAGAACAACAATGACTATAATTAACTAAGCTACATCCATCAATCTACCAGTTCTTTCTAAAAATGCATTTCTAATGCGATCGTTGGTGATATTAACAATCTCAGGAATTCTGTGATGGAAAGATGAAGAAGACAACTTTGCGAAAGTTCTAATGTTTGGGATCTAGAATTTTATCACTGGTTACAAATAATCATCACTTTTTTCATTTTTAACAAAATTTCTGCTAAATACCCAATTTTGATTAATTATAATTTTTCCATCAATCATTTTTTTCAAGTAAAAAATGATATTCTGCAAAGAAAAAAAAAACAAAGGCTAATGCTATTACTTGTAAATCAATCGTACAATGCCTCCTGTCAAGACAAGCATCTATCCCCGAGAGCAGCAGAGGCACTTTATGTAGAYTTCTCATTTTCTCACACAGAATACTGAAATCTTCAGGGGTGAAAATTTGATAAAATAAAAACCTTTTACTGCTTTATCAAAGACACTTTCAATTGAAACTAAAATTTTAAAAAATGTGAGTACAGGGTGATAAAGACAATAATTATTGGTTCAGTTTTGTGCTACTGCCTTGATTCATGCTAAGATATCAGGGCTTTAGTTCTACTGATGAAAATTCAACATGGTAAAAGAAAGCAAATGACATCTGTGCATCACTGTAACGAGATGTGACTCCACAGATCCCTTAAAAAATCTTAGGGAATCCACTAATGTGGGACCATATGAGAGCCACTGATTCAGAAGATGTTCATTTTATTTTTTAAATATTTTTTTAGTTGTAGTTGGACACAATATCTTTGTTTTATTTATTTATTTTTATGTAGTGCTGAGGATTGAACCAAGAGCCTTGCACGTGCTAGGTAAGCGCTCTATTACTGAGCCACAATCCCAGCCCCCAGAAGATGTTTATTAAACAACCAATATATATATATTCTGGTTGACTTGCACATTTGGTGATATATTTAGAAAAATTAAGGAGCTAAACTAAATAGAAACTCTCGTTACTCTTTAAAGGCTGACAGAGGTAAAATACACATGATACTAAACTCCAATTAAAGTTCTCTTAACATTAATTTGATTTATGAAACTTGGGCCAGTATAATTACAAAAAACCTAGCTGTTTTTTTAAAAAAAATGTTGTCATATAATTAATTACTCTAAACAAAGGGGAAATCCTGGGCTGAGGGGATAGCTCAGTGATTGAGCACTTGCCTAACCCTGGGTTTGTATCAAGCCCCAAGAGCGAGTAAACCAAACCCACATCCCAAGACCAGAGCACATCTTCCTACCTCTGCCATCTCTTTGATTTTCTGCTCATAGAACTCTTGCTCTTGTTGGACAGCTGGAAGGAGGGCACGCCGATCATAGGACCTACAATGTCGCCGCTTATTTTCCAGAAAGAACATCCTCTTTTCTATTTTTATGTCACCTAGAAGATATTTAAGAATGCATAATTATGTAGTCAATTGTCTGTAGGAATTCAGGCCAGCAACTTCCAGTCTTCTCTGGTTTAGTCCTCCACTGACCCTCTTGGCAGTATATTTCAAAACTGATCCTAGAACACATTCTAGCACTGAAGTCGATTGCATTCCTTCCTGTTCCTTGTCTACCATGAATCTTTCAGCCTCCCCACACCCCACTGTATGCTCCAATTGTAAAGCCTCTCCTACTCCATCAGTATTACATTGTATGCATATATAGTTTATTACCTATTCTACTAATTAGAGCATTGGTTTATAGTTTATTATGAATACAGCTGCTTGTAGCTGTTGATGAATGTTGTTTGTAGTTCAGTTGGGTTTACATGGAGGTGAAGAGTTGCTGAATCACAGGATAGCTTCTCTTTACATTTTTGTTTTTCTCTTTGTTTGGGGGCGGATTAGGGTTAGTTTTAAGGTTTAGAAAATAATTCAATTGAATGCCAGTTGTTCTACATCGCTGGCAATACCTCATTATCATCAGTTTTTAATTTTAGCCATTCTAGTAGGTACAAATTCCCCTCCTCTCTCCCTTTTCTTTTTCTTCTGGTCCTGAGGATGAATCCAGGACCTTGCACATGTGCATGGTAGGCAAGTGCTCTACCACTGAGCCAAACTCTCAGTTCTGAAATTTTTAATTTCCTTACACTTTCAATTTTGAAAACTCTTCACAGAAGTAGCACTACATAGATTCACAATAAATAATATTTGGAACAAAAGATATAAAAATAACATATATCAGACATTTAACTAGTCTGTTCAGGTTTTCTTTGAAATTTGTAAAGGACAGAGCTGACCTGACCAACAACAAAAGGTAGACCATCTTACAAAATAGACTTTCTTTTCTCCACCACTGAAAATCAGAAACAAATAATGGGGAGGAGGWATGTAAGAGAGATACCTAATTACAACTGTACATTAAGTAAGCCAAGTGAAAAACAACCTACATATTGTTCCCACTTTCTCATTCTCTCAGAGACCAGTGAGAATGTCACGTCAGAGGGCACTGCTGCACAGACTTTCAGAGGGACCTCAGGAATCATACTGTGGGGGATAAAAATCTAGACCCTGAGGAATTAGTCTAGAAATGCAAATACTTTCAAAATGATTTAACTTGTGGTATCTCCATTTAGTCATACTTGAAAATAAATTTTGAAAGTAAGTGTACATGTAACAGAAAAACAAATAGGTGAAAAAGAAAAGGGGAAAATAGTCTTTTTTTTTTTTTTTTTTAAATTAGGGACTGAACCCAGAGATGCTTTGCCTCTGACTTACATCTGCAGCTCTTTTTATTTTTTTATTTGGAGATAAGGTCAAAGGCCTAAGTTGCTGAGGCTGGCTTCGAACTTGTGATCCTCCTGTGTCAGCCTCCCAAGTCACTGGGATTACAAGTGTGTACTACCATACCTGATGAAAATATTCCTATTTGTGACATAATCTATGGAAAAAGCTGCCGTAAACTCTTTTGTTGAACACAAACAACTCAGATGAAATGTTTTAAAATTAATCAGGCAACCTTTTGGGAGGGATCAGAACTAAAATAATGTCTCAGAAAGGGCTTTCAGCAGTTATTTCATCAATAAGAGTAACAGAATTTGAGAAGCATGTGGCTATTAGACCCACACTGAGGTGAGTAAGTGGACCACCTCTGCAGTGAGCAATCATTAGCCGAGGTGGCTACTACTGAAGAATACTAAACCTTCGAGACAGTTCTTTTTTTTTTCAAGCTTAGTAGTGTCCCCACTTGCCCACATGTGAATTCTTTAACCCTGCTCAAAATTTTTGTGTCATAATGTAACCTAAGCAGGAATAAGGAAGACAACACTGTAGTAACTTTCTATAAATTATGAAGTGATGTCTAAATAGTCCTTATGAGTCACTCCTTAGCCCAGCATGATACTCTGTAAGCAGCAGATAACACCACCTCCTTTAGTGACCACACCGAAAGGGAAGGCTTGGCACTGCAGCTTCACATGCTATCAGCTATAACATTCAGCTTGCCATTACCTTGTTCAAATTTGAAATCTATGTAAGAATATTGATTCATTTCTTTTCTTTTTTTCCTTTTCCCACTGGTTTCTGGTGAAAGCTCCTGCCACTTTTTAATGGCATCAGAAAAGGCCTAAAAATTGAGAAAGGGTAAGGTTACCACTGTAAATGGAAAACAAGAACAAGCAAAACACAGGCCATACCCAAATCTTACTTCACTCAGTGAGCTACCTCCCCTGCTCTGCTCAACAGTAGTAAGTAGTGGTGAAATAAATAAGTAGCATGTCATTATATTCATTTTCTTTTTTCATAAAATGCTACAGAGGCAGAATAAAAATGCTTACTGAAAGATTAAGGGACAGCATTAAGAAAATAAAATATAAATTGTTTCTGCAGGAGTACAGGTTGAATCATGTAACACCCAGCTGTGAGCTGTACTTTGTTGGCTCTCTCACGTGCTGTTTCTGTTTAGCACTCTCTTCTCATGCTCTTTTTTCTTTGCATCTACAACTTTCCTTTTGTACTGCATGCTGGAGTTCAAAATTCTTAAAACCATTCTTACCTCTTTTCCTCCATACCTTCAAATTTCTCCTCTTTTTGATTTCTTAAATATTCCTAATCAACTCTTAATTTAAGAGTTCAAGTCTTTGCCATTTAAAAAAAAAGAAATTCCTTCCCCTTTTGATTTCATTTATCTTTTAGCTGGTGGCCCTTCTCTCTTCTGCCCCTTTATAGCCAAACTTCTCTGAAGAGCAGTCTAGATGCTGTTTCACCATTTTCCCTCCTGTTGTGAGCATGCCCTTTCTAAAACCCCTGAAACATGGTACCTAACCTGACTTTTCACCTGCTATCTGTGCTTATTAACAAGAAGCTAATGTCAAGTATGATGGCACATACCCGAAATCCCAGCTACTCCAAAGTCTGATACAGGAGTATCCAAGTTCGTGGTATCAAGTTGAATCTAGGCAACTTAGTGAAACTTGTCCCCAAAACTAAAAGGGGTTGAATGTAGCTCAGCAGTAGAGTACCCCAGGGTTCCATCCCCATACTTCAAACAAATCCATAAGGGGCTAAGTCTACCACCTACATTTGAGTCCTCTCCCTTGATCTGCTAGCAGTATTTAATCATGTTAACTGTTCCACTCTCTTACTTCCTCCTTCCTCTCTGTCTGCTCCTTTTCTGGACTCCGCTCTTCATGTTAGTCTCAGTTCTCTCTCTTTGCCTCTGCTCTGGTTCTAGGGATTAAACGCAGGGGCTCTTTACCACTGAGCTACATCTCTAGTCCTTTCAAATTTTTTAAAATTTATTTTGAGATAGGGTCTTACTAAGTTGCTGAGACTGTTCTGAAACTTGTGATCCTCCTGCTCAGCTTTCTAAGCAGCTGAAATTACAGGTGTGTACCACAATGCCTGGCTACCTAGGTTAGTCTCTCTAGATACCTCATCTACTCTGGTGAACTTGTTTTCCACATGTTGATAACCCTCAACTTTCTGCATCCAGCTCAAATTTCCAACCTTTTTGGTCAATTAAATCACCCAAAATTTTTTTTTGTTTTTTTCCCTTGGCTGTCTTATGGGGTATACTCAGCATGCCAGCCATTCAATGTTTCCCAGGCTGAATTCATGATTCTTTCCCTGAAAACAAGTTATTTGTTTTTTGGTACTGGGGATGGAACCCAGAGGTACTTTACCATTGAGCCACATCCCAGCTCTTTTTATTTTAGGTCTGCGCCTAAGTTGCTGAGGCCAGCCTTGAACTTGTGATCCTCCTGTCTTACAGGTATGTGCCACTACACCTGGTGTGAACCATATTTTTTTTTACCATGTCCTTCCCTTGAGTAAATGACACTACTGTTTACCATGCCCTCCCCCAATTTCACCTAACTGCTACTTAGTCCTGTGACTATTTTTTTAAAAAATATTTTTAGTTTAGATGGACAATACATTTATTTTATTTATCTATTTATGTGGTGCTGAGGTTCGAACCCAGTGCCTCGCACATGCCAGACAAGCACTCTACCACTCAGCTACTCCAGCCCTGGTCTGTGACTACTATGTCATATTCAGGGAGATCCTCTATGGGTCCTCTGTCACTCCCTTTTCTTTCAAAGTATTTGTCATGGTTGTAATTAGTTATTTGTTTGCTTCTCAGATTCACTTCACCTCCTCCACCACAGTGTTCACCTCTGAAAGACAAGGAATGTTATATGATAGCTCATGGTGCATCCTTAACAACTCGTACAGATTGCATGGAGCACCTATCAGGGGATAAATGGAGAGTTATAAGGGATATATATGAGTTACAGATAGGTGGCTATAGGCAGGTGGCTAATGAATATATTCTGAATCTGTTCATCTTGGAGAAACAGCTACATATGTATCAATGTGGTAAAGTAATAAAAGAAAACAAGCACCTTAGCTATAGAAGAAGGATGGATCACCTTTTACTTTAATCTACTCCCATACTTGCCCTTTTGGCCTTTCTACTATCTTTGTTCTCACAGAAGTCCTCTGAGGCAGGCAATAACTCCTTTATAGGAGAGGAAATCAAGGCTTAGAGCAAAAGGACTTGCCCATGTCAAATCCTAGCCAAGCCAGGTACAGTGGCACACACCTATAATCCCAGCTGCTCAGGGGCTGAGGCAGGGAGATTGCGAGTTTAAAGCCAATGTCAGCAAAACAAGGTGTTAAGAACTCAGTGAGACCCCGTCTCTAAATAAAATACAAAATAGGGCTGGGGATGTGGCTCAGTGGTTGAGTGCTCAAGATCAATCCCTAATACCAAAACAAAGCAAAACACACAAAAAACCAAAATGCAGCCAAAGCTAGAATGACACTCAAGCAGTATTGGAACTACAATACCTCTCCTTAACGCCAGCACCTTGTCCTCATACATTCAATGACAGGTCGTCAAAGTAACCTTGCTTTCTAGTCCTTTTTTCTGGAACATCCAGGCCTTTAGGTTCTCACTGATCTTAAAGTCACATTTTTGCAGTCAACTGCAAGACTACTAATGTTTACCAAGTCTTATCTAAAGGATGCCCCATGCTTTAACTAGAGTATTTGTAGAAGTTCAGGAAATAAAGTTGGACAAGAATCACAATTCGCATTTCACAAATGAGTAACTAAAGTGTATGTGCCATTTTCAGCATGCTATGAGACTTGAATATGAACTCAGAGCTCCTGAACGGTGGTATGCTTATTTTGTAACCAAGCCACAGGTTGAGGATCCACACAGGAAACCTAAAGGGATCATAATCCTATTTAAATACTGTTTCTAAATGTCAGGGGAAAAGCCATATAATAACAACATCAACTAGTACTTCTATCTATAATAATGTGGTAAATAAATTAAAGGAGTCTCTAAATCCTTACCTTAATGGTTATCTTAGTAATCATCACTTCTATTACTATTGATTCAAAGCCTAATTAAATAGATCAGACAGAATCAGATTATAAGATGAGAATTCTTTTTGAGAAATGCTTATCTATGCAACCCCAAGGCACACAGGCCACTTTTTCTGGGCTCTAAGCGTTTGTACATATCATTGCTCAGTTGAAAACATTTTTCCAAAGACTCTGGTTCATATGTTTCCTAGTGCTCTCAACCTTATATCCCTAACCAGAATGGAAGCTACTCTATGTGCTACTTTTTTGTGTATGGTAGTGGAATCCCACTCAGGGCCTTGTGCATGCCAGGCATGTGCTTTCTCCCACTGTGTTACACTCCTAGCGCCTACATCATAGTCTACTGACGCCAGTATTTTCAGGGTTTGCCTGGTATCCACCATCAAGTAAGAATCCTAGAAATAAGAGGTGTTCAAGAATAGTATTCCTTTGGCTGTCTTCTAGACTGCATCCTCCCAGTTTAAATTAAGCAGCCACTCAAATACTAATGCTGAGAGTTAAGGATATAGTCTAATAAGATTTTTAGGACATCAGTTACAATGGCTGAAGCTTCTGTAACAAATGACCAGGAAACACTACAATGGGTATGGGATGTCATTAAGACTACAGGGTAAACAGAGACTCTATCTTTGTAAAGAAGCTGGGTCCAGAGCTGGGGATGTGCAGAGACCAAGATGACCATTAAAGACACATGAAAAACAGAAGTCCAAGGGGTAGAGATGCTGAAAACAACTACCTTAGAGTACAAAAGTTAAGAGTGGGTTAAAAAAGACGGCCTAGGGCGAGGGATGTAGTTCAGTGGTAGAGTGTTTGCCTACCGTGTGCAAGCCCAGGTTCAATTGCCAGCATGGAAAACAAACAACAATATAAAACCCCAAGATGGCTCAATAGTATTAAGCCCTAGAAGGGAAGGGGCTATGTACTGTTCTTATGATATTTCTGGTGCATGGACTGAGGTAGGCAATCAACAAGCTGAACAAAAGAGGTATTCACATCTGTGGTAAAATTATCTAGAAAAAAACTAGAGGGGAAGTATTTTCAACACAGTGGGGCTCTCGGTTAAGTGTGAGTATGCAAATCAAGACAGACAGTTGTGGGATCTAGAATGCAGGAAAAAGGAGAAAAGTGACGGGATTTCCTGAGAATGAAGGTGAAGGTAAGTCTCAGGATGATGGYTGTGCACAAAGTACAGAGAATAGACAGAAAAGCCTGGAGCAGGGAGGAAGACTGGGATAATGAACAGAGGGCTAAACTGACAGCTGAAACAATATGCAGAACTGTGTTTGAGCTGTTGTATCTGGAGACTTAGCTAACCAAAACAATACAACAGAAAACCAAAGCAAATGAAAACATGGGGTCAGTTAATCTTAACACCAGGGTAAATAGGAAATTCAACAAAGGAAACATTATGATACTTGCCCAGCAGTGAACATTCCTACAATCATAATAAAGAAAAATATGAAACTTTGAAAATAGATTTGACAAAAAACATGTCTATCAAAAAGATGAGTATGTGTGTATATAAGTAAGAGCTAGGATCCTTATCTGTCACAAGAGAAAGCTACAAATAATTTTCAAAGCTCATCAGTTCAAGCAGAAATATGTTAAAAAATACGTGGGTAAATTTCAGAACAAAGATAAAAAATGGATAAAGTAGAGAAGCTGCCTCTGGAGAGCAGAGGAAAAGGTTGAAGAAGAGGCCTTCAGCCTGCCATTTAAAAAATT